GAAATTTGCATTTTTTCAAAAAATTTGCATTTGTCATTTTTTCACAAAGCGAGCATTTACCGAAAACGACCGGACTTCGTGCAAAAAACCGGTAACCATGCACCTTGATGTCCGTGCGACTCTATAATACACCACCTTCATCTCAACTGACGCCCTTTCTCCTGCATGCCGGAGGGGGCCTAAGCACGGCCAATATGAGCCCAAGTGTTAGATTACAGCGTAGGGGTCATTCTTGCTAATAGCGATCTGCGAGTTTACTGCCAAAACGCATCATTGCACCGGAAAGTTTGGTGCTTTCCAGGCTGGGTTGTAATTGCCGAAAATTACTGTCGGCTGAGGCTGCTTCTCGGTTCTCCATAACAAACAGGAGCCACGGCTTTCACCGCTTCCTTATTCATCTCGTTTATAAAACTATTTTTGTCTCCAATTTATTAAACCATTAGGCGATTTAGAATAGCAGTAGAAAAAGAACCCAGGCTGGAACGCACAAGCGGTCTGATGCGATTATGCGTTTTTGCAATCTTCATACCGTAGCAAGATCGCAAGGGATCACAGTAGCTAACCGTGTGACATACTGGTCCTCGAAGTTTGGGAAGTTAATTGTACAGCTAAGTGGCATATCAGTTGTAGATGTCGACTTCAGTGACCGACAAATGGAAAGTTGCTAGTTCGCGAAAAAGACCGTGCTAGAAGACTTAAATTTGAAATCTTTTAGCCGCACATGAGTAAGGGACGTTGCTTTAAAATTAAAGCCCTTAGCTTTTCCCGTCCCCGATTTAGTAGTTTTCCCATCAAAATCTTCACGTGTCCGTACGTGAGTACCGTGCGGTTTCAAGGAGCTGAATTTGAAATCTTTTGGTCATACATGAATAGGGAACATTCTCCTGCGGTTTCAGTTTTCTAGCTTTTCTCATTCCCGGGTTAGCAATTTTCTCGCCAAAACTTTCACGTGCTCGTACGTGGGGCCCAGACGTGCGTGTGAGTTGATGTCGCGGTTGTGGGGTGGCACTTGGCTGGGGAACATGCTGGCAAAATTTCAGCTTCAAAGCTTGCGTGCTTGGAGTTGAAATACCTGGACAGACGAACACACACACAAAAGAAAAACAAATATACACACACGCACACAAACATATACACACAAACACACACACACAAACATGTGTACACACACAAAAACATATATATACACACAAACATATACACACACACAAACATATATATATATATATATACACTGACAGGGTCGCTGCAATATGCGTTTTTGCTGCCTGTTGCAACGCTCTAGTGCTACACGGCAAAACCGCATAAAAAGAAGACTAATTTGTTTCCACATCAGGCTCGCCGGCCGAGTGCCACCCCAGGACTGCGGCACCAACCCTCACGCACGTTTGGACCCCGCGTGCGAGCATGTGAAAATTTTGGCGGGAAAATCGCTAACTTGGGAATCAGAAAGTTGGTAGGCTGAAATTTTATGGAGATGTTCCCAGAACACGCACAATTTAAAGATTTCAAGTTCAGCTCCCAGGTTGTGTGTGATTCTCACCTACGACCCATGAATGTTTCTGACGGGAAATCCGCTAAGTTAGAAATCAGGAAAGCTGGGAAAGTGAAGTTTTAAGCGGATATAACCAGCCTACTTATAACTTAAAAGTTTCAAATTCAGTTTCCAGTCTTGTATGGTTCTCACGTACGGCCCCGTGCAAATTTCGGTAGGGAAATCGCTAAATTGGGAATCAGAAAATCCAAAAAGCTGAAATTTTGAGGGGTTTTCTCCTGACAAAGTACCATGTAAGCTACACATTTAGCTTCCTGAACTCCGAGGAGTATGCCATAAATTTTAGCTAGTGAGACTCAAGCGATTTTACTGCAGCACGAAAGATTGTAAAAACGTGTCGCGCTGGCCCGCCTGGTGCGCATCACCATTGCTCATAAATATACAAGAGCGTATGAAAAAGTAATGATGCAACTAGGCTAATCGGTGCGATTATGAGTTTTTACACCATACTTGAAGCAGTCAGGTCATTAATAGTATGAGTGAAGGAAAACGAATTGTTTCCAGTAGCTGGTTGTTCATTAAAAATGACCTTACTGTTTTGTTTTTCGGATAGCCCATATTCCCGTCAAAAATTTCACCTTCCCATAAGTGAGAGCCAAGCTCGCTTAAGAACTAAATTTGGAGTTTTTAAACAGTACTTGGGTGAAGAGAACCTGCTTGGTATTTCAGATCTTTAACCTTTCTAGCTCCCAAGTTAGTAATTTTCCTGTCTTAACTTCGTATTTCCGTATGTGGGGTTTGAGTATGCGCGAGGGCTGGTTTCACGTTTCTAAGGTAGTTCTTGACCAGCGATTTCACTGAAAAAGTTTCGGCACCAAAGCTTATCTAGTTAACGACTTGAAATACCTGAGCAAGCACGTGCACACGTGCACACACACACTCACGCACACACATACACAGGCAAACATGCACTCACGCACACCATCAGTCGTCAAGTCAAAATTTTGTGAAGTGTGTGTGGGGTGTATATGTGTGTGTGTGTGTTTGCGCCGGAAGGTGAAATATGGAAGTGTGTGGTATCTTGAAATTTTATATAAATATCACAGATACAGCAAAACGCAAATCCAAATGAAAATATACGACAAAGATTTCAGTTAAAAGTCACGAGAAATAAATGACTGACCAAACACAGTTTCGTATAAAACGACCTTCGGAGAAAAATACGACTAATACAAGATGAGGCGATGCCCTTCGGGAAGGCGCGACTATTGACGAACAGTGAGTGGGACCTCAACCGATAAGCGGGACTGCTTTTACAGAGTAGGGATTTTATTAGCGCTGAAATGCGCACTGTTATCGTAGCAGATCTTAACTGGACATTAGCGAGCGTTATCGGGGCTTCGGGATCTCCGCGGTTGGCTATTGCGACTCTGGGAAGACTTTGATGGGGATATCAGGGCTAGGGATCTGGGAATGGATCGCGATTAATATTTTGTTTTTTTTTTTACTTTTTTCTCCTC